AAAAAAAAAAAAAAAAAAAAAACAACCATACTAATCTCACTATCACCATTCGCCGTTTGACCCTGGAAGCAATTCAAGTCCACAAAAAGCCCATCTCTCTGCATTCTGGATGTCGAATACGGGACCCTAAACACCCGCTGCACATGACACCGTTTATCGATCAGTGTCGTCGTCCCGTAACTGCCTCTCCAGTGTGTATCGTTCAAATCGGTGATGAAGAAGTGATCCTGTATCCATTTTGTTTGTTGGATGATGGTTAGATCGTTGGGGACCATTTCCTGGAGGAAGATTACGTTCATTGGGGTAAGGTTGCTATTGTTGTCGGCATTGGGTTTGAGGAGGACCTTTGAAAGATAATTTAGGCCAGCTTGAGTCCGTTCTGCTTTGCAGCACTGTTGAAAGTCGATGTTCCAGGTTGTTAGTGTGAGGCTTTTCAGGGGCGTTATACTGGTGCTTGTTATGGATCCCCGGGTGGTGTCTGTTTGGACCGGGTTCCATGTCTGGGTAGTTTGGTTGTAGCTGTAGTACGGTTGTGGGGTTGGAATGTCGGCGCTGATGAAGCCTTCTGTAATTAGCGCTTGGAGGCGCTTGAAGGCGGAGATTGGACGTTGGCCCATGGAGACGATATTTTGCTCTGATGTTTGGTGGGGGGGAAGGGGGAGAGAGAAGTTTTAGGAATGGATGAAGATGACTTGACATGTCTTAGTAGTCCATACTTTGATCAGGTAAATGACATCGGGGTATATTTTGGGTTAGTCAATTTCTGGGATGATCTCAAGTGACCGTCCAATCAGGTGCTCGGGATGTACAGGTTCAACGTGTGGAATGTACTACTACCTACTACTACTACTAGTAGACGGCCATGTCCTGGCATATTTGACTGTGGCAGCTGAAAAGAATGTGATGGTATTCTCAAAGTATTAGAGTACACCGTGACATCCTAATTATGTGCATTTCTTTCTCTGACCTTGACAAGGTTGTCCTATGTATTCACTATGGTCAACTTTGTATAGAGCAGTTCATCACCCCTATTAGTAACTACTATACTGTCAAGAACGCCATGTTATGATATATGGTTGCCGTGGTGTCAATACACGTACGTATGCTACATTAGTTCAGAGCCTTCACGTCCAGTCACGTCACGTCCTCTCGGCGATGAGCCTTTGTTTTTCTTATCATCAGAAATGTGATCTTCCTTTCTTTGTCCCCAATGTCCCCTGCTGGATCCTCCAAGTTGCACCCACAATGGCTTCAATCGCCAGCAGGTCATCTTTATTTGAGTCTCCATCAGTTCCTAGATCATCTCATCAATGGAAGACCGCTCTGCATGATGTCAAGCTTCTGTATATCCAGCGCCAGTACAAACAATGTGCTGGCCGGGCTACGGAGCTGCTCGAGAAAGCTAGAGAACCTGTATGTATCTTTGTTCCATACAGGACTAAGACTAATATAAAGCAGCTGCACCCCGTCTACAAGACGTACCTCTACTTCTACAGCGCAGTCTGCTATGAGGAGATGGGTCGAGCCGCTCACAAGTATTCCAGCACCAAAGTTCCACTCCTACAAGGCGCGTTAGATCGGTTTGACATCTGTAGCACCGTTCTGCCCTCTCCCATACCGGTCTCGAGCCGCTCTTCGGAGGAGTCGAACTTCCCCTCACTGGGAGAATTCTCTTCCCCTTCTGAGTCCTCAGAAAGTCCATCAACTGTGCCCAGTCTTGTCACCAGCATCACAGATATCATCGACAGTACCATTCAGTGGAAAGAAGAGGATCCATTCATCTCAGACAGTAATTCCTGCCCAGATACAGACATTGGAGCCGTTACCAGAGTTGTCGATGGCAGAGCAGACCGTCTGCTTGTTCCTCCTCCATTGACATTCAGGAAGTCCTCCGATGAGATTCCTCCGCCTACGGTAGTTCTCCGTGATCCAGGCAACACTGCACCTCGGAGAGAGAGACCAGACCGAGCTCCTCTACCTCCTCCACTCCCTATCAAGGTTGTTCCTCGTGCAGCCACAGGTAAATACAAGAGAACGATAGATTCACCACTAGACAATAGAGATTCCCGACTATGCACTGATGACTTACTTATCGATTTAAACGAGAGAAAGCCTGCACCTGCGACCCCACAGTACAGTGATTCCATCAGACGCTACAATAGCAGTATCCGATCCCTGCGATCTCAAATCGACTCCAGTTTTAACTCAATTCATGTGCTGATCGATGAAATCGAAGAGAAGCAGCATACCCGCAAAATGGCCAAGACTATCAAGCGATCTGCATCGTTCTGGAGCTTTAGTCCTATCAAAGCGGGTGATGGATGCTGGGAGAAGGTCGAGGTTCCGAAAAGGTCCCCGGGCAGAGAAACTAAGCAGGAGAGAATCGAGCGGCTACGCGGTGAAGGATGGAAGACAGTAGGACTACGATCTGCAGCGCGGGGATGGAAAGGAGGAGAATACTACAAGGTTTATTGCAGTTCTGTTTTGGACGAACTTTATTTGGAGTCGTAGGGTTTGATTCTGGAGTCGGGAATGACAGTCTGGATGCTGGTAATGTACCGACGTGTGATTTGGCTATTGGTGCTGATAGGTGATATTGATAAAAGAGATCTTGTATGAGTATTGGGAGCTGTGTTGGGTCATATTGATTTGCAGAAGGTGCAAGGAAATAAACAGGCATTGAGCCAATATTGCTGTATTCCCTCTCATGGACAAAGTAATTGAGCCAATGAAGCAATTAATAGCTTGCTATAATGCAGTACAGACTAAGAGTGACATTCAGCATTGTGATTCATATGCTTCTAAATTGAGATTCAACCGCCGTCACTGCCTGCTTCTATCATCCATTTTCAACCCAAGGATTATAGTCATCTCTTTTCCCCTGTTAGTGCCTTGATGAATCCACAATATTTCCATAGCGCTACGATCACGACTTGATACAAGCTCGTACCTATATCAAACGCTCAATCTTTACACATATTCTTGAATGTAGTTTAAGCTGGACTGACTGTCAATACTAGTTGATATTGATGGTTATCTCCCACCGAAGGAATACGACCAAAGGATTCTTTCCTATCTACCTCTATAGATACAGGAGATTATAGATTATCATACTATAGCTGGCTAAGATAGTGGCGAACTACCGCAATTATATTTCATGACAATGCTCTCAGTTTCCCATGACAACCAGCAAAAATATCCATTTCCCTCCGGAGCATCACGCATCAAATGGCGTAATATGTGCAAGCATTCAACAAATTTAATTAACCTTTACCAGCTCGACGGTACCCAGTACTTCGCCCAATACTTTTTAGTATCTGCTTCCTCAAACCTTTTGACACCACCGACAACGCCATCCTCACCCACGTCCCAGTGACCATCTTCGATGTTTGATGCCCAATTCTGTAATACCTTGTGTAGCTGTACATCCCGCAGATCCACGAAACCATTATATCCAGACTGGTGAAGATTATTATGCATCACTTTCGGTCCCGATACATCATCCAACGGGTCCATGCATATCCGCCTATCATCGCTTGTGCATGCCCACTTATATTCGCCAATAATAAAAGGTAGAGGCAGGTAACAACCATTAGAAAACTCGTGATTAGACGGATAAATAATGGATGGCATACACAAGCTGGCCGGGATAGGTGGAGCCCTTGGTGGTTCTGGGACGAGAAGGGCATTGCGATGTGTTGTTTTCGCACTGTCCGTGTAAGATAATAGTAATGATGATCCAGGTATCTATTCCGCTTTTGTTGCCTCGATAACCATGCACAGGTAACAATAATCTCGCTCCATGTGTACGAACATATGTTCATAGAACTGACCTTGAATTATGACACAACTCACAACCTACACTGGAAATATAGAGGCGCACAAGGTAAGCAATTGCCTTGATATTCAGCGAGGGTCATGCCAAAAGCTGACCGTGTTTATCGTGATCTCGAGAACAAGTCAAGTTGTTCCATGTTCGTCGTTAACATACGGCAGACGCTGCTCCATATGCCCAGAGCTACATCGTATTCTACTTTGATAAGGAACACAACTGCCGCGAATTTAAGTGATCAGTGTATATGCGTCTCATCAGAAAACAGGGCAAATTGAGTTATTCCATAATTGGAGTATATACTAAAGTTCTAACCCCCCCCCCCCCAAACTCTCCGGCCTTCTAAGGCTAAACCAACTTACGAACTAGAAATATAATAGCGCCTATGCTCCTGTTCTATATCTAGAGCAGCAACAGACGATCATTTAAACGCCAACTTTGAGTTTTGTTGCTATCGTACAACTTTATAATTGCGATTACAATACCCATTTCTATAGAATTTAGTGCGGCTCCGCAAATACTACAGAATTCCTACCTTTTTCGGAGCTGAAAGTGATAAAAGCTAATTCTCCTATCTTTTTTAGTCATTTACATATTTGAGTGGTTGGGCACTCTACTTGAATGTTGAATGGCTTCGATCTTAAGACGCGTAGAAAACACGTGAGGTGACCGGCTCGCTTGTGGATTACGCTAAGATATAAGATATGGCCATCCAACAGCATTGTATCGGGCATTCCTCCTCATAACCTCCAGCAAGATCACTACTCGGACAGCTCAGGGGCATTTACTTCTGAGTTAGAATTAATTGTGCCACCGGTGACTCTACATAGATTTTATTTACACTTAGTGCTACCTGCTCTCATGTCAGACCGTGAGGCCACTGGAAAGTCTACTAACCGGGTTATCCGCCGACGTCGCAAGTGTCTTGCCTGCGACGCCTGTTCCAAGAGAAAGGTAGTCGTGCCCATTATCCTGGTCGTATTTACGCATCATTAATACACTACTTACGCCTGTGTTAAATATTCGTGACTTGAAGATTCAATGCGACCGAGCAAACCCCAAATGTAACTGGTGTTATCACCACGACCTTCCTTGTCAATATACCCGTAATGGAGCTCGGCTGAGGCAGCAACAGCATCACATTCCAAAGTAAGGCAATGCCTCCCTCTTAATCAGCTGTTATGGTTTGACCTTCGGTTAGTCCTGTTATTCCCTCACCCGCGGGTGCTTCTCATAGCAGTCCAGGTATGTTGGATTACTGGACTCTCAGGACACGCCCACTTGACCGTATTCGATTCCCAAAGAGTATTGATATGATCATAGATTTGGCGTGGAACCCGGAGGCTACACACACAGAGACTCCCGATCCTAACCTGCACTTTCCGGGACTGGCCTTGAGGAATATCTGTGTGTTCAATGGCTTGCCCTTCTTTTCCTCGGGGGGTCGACAATGGATCAAGGCACAGACAGGCGAAGACGTGGATTTGAACCAATATCAACCCCCGAGGCGGATCTCGTCGCTTCGTCCCACGACCACTCGTACCATACATCTACCAAGTGAAAGTCTTCTTCTTAAACGCTTCGAGGAGTACAAGTCCTCGGTCTTTTCTCAGATATTCCCCTTCATTAACCCGCATTTTTTCGAGGACACAGTTCGGGCGGCTTATCGAGAGCGATCTCCCTTAAATTATAGCAATGATAGCGCCAAAGCATGTATCTTTGCATTCATGGCAGTGACTGCTATGTTCTTTAATTCTACAGAAAATCATGGGACTGATGACTCGGACTATTATGCCTACGCTGCTTATGATTTAATACCAAGGTTCTTTCGGGACTCCATAACAATAGAAGGGCTACAGGCATTACTTATGCTGGTAAGTCTTACCTTGTTCACGATTAAAGGGTGCACCTAATCAGAGTCGCCACAGTGTCTCTACAGTCAATCTGTTCTCGGCGACCAGTTGGGCGTGGAGCTACTGTTTGCAACTGCAACCCGATTTGTCTTCCACCTTGGCGGCCATATCTTCCCAAAAACAGTTGATGTTGATGAGGTCGGCCGCAGATCTTTAGACCTCCGATTGCATATTCGGAATTTGTTCTGGCTCTGCTACATATTTAACCAAGAGTACAGCCTGCGGACGGGTCTTCCTCCTAGTCTTGACGATGCACACTGTGATCTCACACTTTGTGATACCGAGACCACAAATGCTCAGAATATAGGGCTGTTGGGGTGTTCACCTCTCTTCATCCCATTTGCGCGCATGGCGACCATCCAATCGCAGATCTATCGCAGACTCTACTCTGTCGTAGCTCGAAACAAAACGGATGCCGAACTCCTGTCCACCATTCGTGACCTTGATCAGCTTTTGGAAGACTGGAAACTCTCAATCCCCATGAATGTACGACCATCCCTTACGCATCGTCCGACAGGTGGTGAGGATATACCATCTTCTATCTTTCAACTACAATATCATTATTGTATGGCAACAATCCATCAAATAAGTGGTCGCTGCATATTCTGGACCCAGGACACACGTGGCATCAGCTCCAGTCTGGCCCTAAGTGTGGAGGCAAGCCGATCACTGCTAAAGATAGTATCGCATTCTGAGCTTCCGATTCACCGCTATAACCTTCTGTTAGTCCACACCCCGGTCCACAACGCCTATAGGTATTGCAGACAGTGCGCTTATCGTATTTTCTTCTAGTTTCTGTCTTCCCTATGTTACCGCCGCGATGATCCACCTCTTCTGTGACATCCTCCTCCACCCTCGTGATAAAGCCTGTCATGCCAGCCTTGAATTAATGGACATGGCTCGGGACCGCATGTTGGCGCAGCTATGGCCGCAGGCTCCTAGTTCTTTCAGGATGCAGGTCCAGTTCGTGAAGGGCCTCAGTATAGAATTACAACGCCTTGCGCAAAGTGCAATGCGGAAGGCGACAGTCTGACTTTGGCTCCATCTCGGGAGCTGGGCCCCTTCATCGAACACACCCTTTATTGCTATCTTTGTATCACAGGTATAATCATTCATCTCCATTCACTTTGTACCACTTAGATCCACCCGATACAACAATGATATCAACTCAAACACACTGCACCCCACACCCCGAAAAAAGAAAAAGAAAAGGGAAAAAAAAGACAAAGAAAAGGTTACATTGAATGTCTAATTACATATAAAGGTCTATCAACAGATCTCGGGAGAATGGTCAACGACTTGAGTCACATTCTGAGCCACCCGTATCTCACAGATTTCTGATTACCTCGCTAGACCAGCAATGGCATCCTCTCTCCAGGACCACAAGGCAGCCCAGGTAGCACCTGGGCCGATTATGAACTGGCCCGCTATAACCGCAAGGGCGGCCTTGACCGCACTGCGTGTTTGAATGTATCCAAGGCGACGGAGGTCCCAGATAGAGTAAAGATTACCACCTACGTAACCCGCCAATGCCGTCACAGCATCGTATCGGAAAAATGTAGCTATCTGCTCCGAAATGGTCGGGAGGTTCCAATCGGCCCGGAAGGGGTTTGGCAAACCAAAGAAGGCCTTCCCTATTGAGATATTGGGATGGGACCACGCATATGCCATTGTTGCGATGTGTACTGCTGACTGTACGGCGAATGCATACGTGTACACCTGCTTGAGGACTGGCACATCATGTTTCTCATAATGTTCAAATGCTCCTACCTCCTCTCGTGGGTCCTCGCGACCAAGTCGCCACCGCTTGAAGCCAGCTGAGAAGGCCGCTGTCAAGACGTTAACTAAGGGCGGTGCGAATTGCCAGAGCGCAACCCAGTGTTGCCAGGCTTCAAGATTAGGGGTTGACGCGAAGACCATGACCGTTGGCAGTATGAAGCCCAAAGTGACCGCTGGGATTAGAGAGCAGGCTATATCTCTGGGAACTGCACGGCCTGGAATGCTCTCGTGTGTATAGAGGGAGCTTAAAATAGCATGGAGGGGAGCTATTCGTCCAATTCCCTGGACTTGCATGCCGGCATTGAAGATGGTTGGTAGGGCTAAGAGCGATCCCTGGTTCCCCAGACGGTAAGCCTCGATAGTATATATCAGGAGTGGCGAGATGAGCTGAGGGAGGAAATGGATAAGGTGCAACCTCGCCGAGGGGTCTTTGTCCAGGATAGGGAAAGATAAAACGGACACCAGCTTGTTCAAGAATTCCTGGCCGGGGCTGTCACCTAGCCATGAGATGACAACCGAGCCGGATTCTCCCCAACCGCCGAGGCTTGAAAAGGGCAACCGGAATGCCTTCGTTGTGACAAGAAGAACGAGCCCCATACTCCCTATGAAACCCCAACGGATGGGCCTAGATATGTTTTGATCAATAGGTTTGGCTGGCAGCTCATCATTGAAAGGAACGAGTCTCGACCGATGTGGAATATGGAGTTTCTCTACGGTGGCGGCTCCGGCGTAAGCCTGTCCCATCCGGCTGAGGACCAACTCATCCCCTGCAAAGGGTAGGATAAGACTGTTCGCTATTGTAGAGACCAAAGGGTTCTCGTAAGCATTGAGTGCCTGCATCTCATGGGAAGTGCGGACGATCAATTGAGCACGATCATGTCTGTTTGACTGTGTTTCGCGCATGATGTCCTCTATGTCTCGGTCGGACAAGCTAGCCAAGCTACCGCTGTGGCTTTGTTTCTTTCGCAATATGGCATTGAGAAACTCGGCACAAGATTCTATTGCTCCATTAGCACCTTGGCCGCCAATAGGATTTGGCTATATTATAAACGAAGATGTCAGCCATATGGATGGGGCAAGAGTACCGGTGCCTTTGATTATACAAAGCTCATGGTACTTACCTTGTGCGCTGAGTCTCCCAAAGTAATGATCTTCTTGAAAAACCACTTTTGGTAAACCATCTCGTGCAGAGGTGTCAATGTCGACGATAGTCGCTTGTCAAAGACGTGGCCGAAAGTGACACTTCTTGTGATGGGAAGGTTGTAATTTTGCTTGACGAATTCAGCCTCGTCTTCCTTGGTATACCTGGGTATATCCTTTCCATACTTGGCTTCTGGCAGTTTATCAAACAGAAACCAATACACCCGGCCTTCTGGCCCCGACACAACAAGCTGTGACTGACCATTACCCATCACAATATTTTGCTCGCCTTCAACCCACCCAGGGACATGTTGAGCAATACCAAAGCTGCAACGGTAGTAGCAAGGAACGTTATCCTCCTCTTTAGCGGGAAAATATCCTGGCTGGAGCTTGTTGCCCCAGTCTCTCATAAGTGATCGCACCTTACTGTGAATGCCGTCTGCGCCCACAACGAGTGTACCGGTGTAGACCGAGCCATCTGCAGTGGTGACATTGACACCTCCATCAATGAGATCTATCTCACTGACTTTTTTGTTAAGCAATACCCTATCTTTGTGCTTGATCGTGTCGTGTAGAATTTCTAAAAGTTTCTGCCGATCAAAGAAAAGCAGGCCATATCCATGTCTATGCCTGGGTTAAAGAGAAACGTGACCCCACCAGCGAAATAGGTCTCTACATACCTTTTCTCCAAGTGCTTGAACATTTGATTCAAAGCGCAGAGTACGTCGCCTTTTTTATCCCGCATATATGCCACTTCGAGATGTTGTACGGACAAGTTGGTGATTCGCTCGTAACATCCAAGCTGATCTAGTATGCGCAGGCCGTTGGGAAACAGGCCGATACTAGCACCGACTGGTGGAGCTATTTCATAGTGTGCTTCGAGTAGAAGATAATCGATATCGAACTTCTCTAGCATGTTGGCCAAGGTGAGGCCGGCAATGCCTCCACCGGCGATAATGATCTTAAATTCCGCCATGGAGCTGAGTTATCCGTATAAAGTGCTCTGTGGCTGAACAGTGAACAAAGGATACATATTCGAGTATTCATGATTACGTGGGTGCTACCGATATTTAAATATTCGTCCCCGGACCTGTATCATACCTGCTGTGAGTATAGAAATGCGCTTATGTCAGCGGCCTTAAGTACTCTTGGCTCCAAAGCCCCTGAGGCTTGACCCACTTAAAGGTCTCTTGGCCGCCGATTCATCATTCATGCTATGTCGATCTTCACAGATCCTCCAATGCAGAAAGGATAAAGCCATAGACAATCTAAATATCGGCATTACCTCTTGCCGGAAGATCGGGTGGAGAGCTTTCGGAATTGAGGGTATCCGTGCCGAACTGCCATCCCTCGGAGGCATCCTATAGATGTGCGGTGGGTTTGTTTGTACCTGGGTCAGGAGAAACATGCTTCTTTTTTAGGTATGATCATGTTGGAAGTCTCCTATATTTTACCTAGATGATGAACTCTTTGAGTGGAAAGAGGCTATACGTACTCTAGGATGAGAAAACAGTATACTGAAGGGAATGAGAAGCTGTGGCTGATCATACCGTTAAACAAGAAGACATATAATGAACCATTGCAGGACGGAAATGAGCTGATTGAGGAATTATATTTCCTACCAGTGTTTAATTCAAAGCCCATCATACTTTACAGCTGAATCCGATACACTATGAGCCTCAATGTGCTCCGACTCAGTGACCTATACATCAAACTTAAAATTGCTAGCAATGAGACGACTTCTTATTTCTGAACCAATGTCTACCGGTATTCCTGGGTTGAGAATACCCTCCACAAAGAGTAAAAACATCGACTCCTTTCCACAGAAATGCATGTAACCAACTACCGACACGAGAAATACCCGAGCATCAACAAGGCTTGTTATACCTGATCCTAGATTTACAAATACGTTATCAGAATCGACCGTGTAGCCCTTTTGTATGATAGAGATATTAAAAGACAACAGCCCATTTTGACATCGCCAATCTGGTTGAGTTATTGCTGGCCTTAAGGCACAGACCCCGTCATCCGCTTGTGTAGCGGTATGGCCCCTAACCTGCCCTCGAATGAGAGTGCCTCCGAAACCCCCGAACTTGAAGAGGATTCAAAAATCCTACAAATTCGGAATCTCCGACGTATTATTGTCTTGGCGAGTGAGTCCTACAGATATGACAAGGGTATCATTTGTCTCTTCCTCACGCCATATGCATTGAGCAATATTGGGCATCCAGAAGTGCTACACTCCGATCGATCTAATTGGAAGCAATCAAGTATTTATGTCTTCTCCATCCATCACATGGTCCTGTCTATGAAGGTCAAATGACCTCGGCCAGAGAGGTTAAAAGACACCCATTGCCCATGCCTCGATGAGCCACGAACGGCGAAGCCAAAAACACTGTACATACACATCTGGCTCGGCCTCAATTAATTTGGCAACATAGTTACTTGCACACCATAAGATCAAGCCCCTGCTACATAATTTCGTTCTTTGTGGAATCGTGTATCTTGTGCGTGACCGATGCTACAATGAAGTGCTTGGAGGCAGCGCTGCAACCTCACTAACAACACAACAGTTAGTAATATACAATATCCACGAAGCAGCCGCCACGGATTAACGACGCCGTTATGGAAACGTGCCCAATATGCCGGGGCGCAGGACAGTGCGATCGAAATTGCCTCGAATGCATGGGGAAAGGGACCTGGCTTGAGCAAAATCGAAGCGGAAACCGTCGGAGAACTTGCTCCCCATGCGATGGTAAGGGCACAACTTTTGGGAATTGTCCAAGATGCAACGGTCGCGGCGCTATATAATTGACACTCGCCGTCTTTTCCGTCTACTTTATTGGGGGACATAACAACGCCTGGAACTGCCAATGTTTGGGTCCTTGCAAGACTGTTCAATTGAGCCAGCCAGAGGGTCTTCTAGGATAAAGAATCTGTTGCGTTGTGTAGGTACTATGTAGTCGCGTCTCGAACAACTGAAATGATTTGCTTATACTTGTTACATCAGACTTATACGTGTAACATACTAGTAATGACAGTGTTTGTATATCCCACTTTAAAATCCTGTTGTAAGGAATATAGTCTTTTGTTGCACAGTAACTTAAACCTGACTCTCCCGGTTGGTTTGTTCATTGGCTAAGGTCTTCTGATTCAGCCGCCAATATGATTTCTTTGTATTGGTTTTAGCCATCGAATTGCTGTTCTTTGTATAAGGTATTGTATAGGCCTGAACACCTAGTCGTTTGGCAGGTAAATAAAAGGCTTGAATTATTGATACTTTTGCCCTTCATTTGATCCTAGGCGGAATTACTAGCTAGAACCCTTCTCAAAATTCCTCGTACTACTTACTTCTATGGGAGGTGAACCAATGATGCTATGGTATTATAAACCAGATGGGATATCTGCTTTAATATACGGAAATAAGATAAGGAATTTGTCTGTTCCTCTGGATACGAGACAGTTGATTGACCTTAGCTGTCAGACTATATATCAAATTCTTGATAAATTGTTAGAGATTTTGTAGAGAATACCAGTTACATCGCTTGCAATCCTCGGAACAACGAGTAACAGGGGTCACGTATCGTATTAATATTCACCGTCACATAATTTCCTATACTACTATATTTTAGTCTTGTTATGTGCTGCGAGTTCTCAAAGGACCGGACAACCATATACAGAGTATTTAAGTAGACCGACCTGTATAACCATTGTCATGCAATATACTATACAGTTAGATGTCGTGAGATTCTTCAGTGACACCCCATCCTTGGCGCTCGTCCTTTTTTACTCGCACCAGAAGCGCATCCAATAAAATTGCAATAGCCACAAGTGCAATGCCAAAATATAGAGATGCTCGGTAGCCAAACAGAACGTCACCCGTTTTGATGTGGACGTATGCCTCAACAGTAGATCCGAATCCAATCCCCAGGCTGCAGCCGTATAAATTTAGAGCTCTGATGAGCGAACCAGCAATACCCTGATCACGCTGGCTAACGCTGTTGCTAGCGACAATCTGAGCCGCCGTGTAGATAAAGTCTGGGCAAATTGAACTGTAAACTGTCAGTATAGAGATTTAACATTCCAGGTTAGGGTATGAGTGGATACATTCATATGGTAGCCGGGAATATCTGGGCCCAATAGCTCTGTTGTGCCGGCATCGCCACGACAAGGATGTTACTGATTAGTGTCGCAACTGCGCCAATAGCAATAATCCATTGCGCTGCGATGCGAGGTATCAACCACGCGGCAAAACCAGTCCCCCAGAGTTCCAACCACAGCGAATGGCGTCCATCCCAGGGAAAATTGCAAAACAGACCATTCTCGAATGTCTTGCTGCCAGAGAACCATATACCATTGGAGATTTCCAAATGACATGTAGCTCAAGAGCACCACAATCACCAAAGGAAGAAAAGAAGGTGCCTTGAAAATTTTCATGGGCATTGTGGGATGCTTTGCGAAGAGGTGCTCCCAAACGCCAAATGTGACGAGCAGAAGCTAGGAGATCACACACTCACTCGATGCTCTCCCACCGGCGATTCCAGTCATCGCAGCAATCATCTAACAATTGTTATCTGATTCCAAAGGCCGAGGAAACGGGAATACTAACCTGAACTAGATTTGTGGCGACCAAAAATGTGGCAATAAGTACATTGCGAACAGTGATTTTATCAGGTTTGTACTTAAAAAGTCAATTAGAGTATGTGAAAAATCACGTATAGGACTAGTATTTTATCATACTTGCCGCATTGTCTGCACATCCATCTTCACGAAATCTTTTTGCGGTAGTTCAGGAGCAATCGATGTTCGGTTTACAACCTTAGACACTGAAATTCAGATGAAGTATGTTCTCTTCGCCTATTTGAATGTCTTTTAACTAGGACTCGCGGGTTATAGTTTCCTCTTTTTGTAGCTATTAAATTGCACGTGAGGAAGATCCGCACTCTCGGAAACTTGCTTCCTTAATATTCAGATCTGTGATTCTAGCATAGTATCTCCGTTCGTGAATCATATCCGTCTCATTCTCAGTGGTTCAATGAAGGCTCCAGATACCAAGAAAGTGGTTCTGGATACCTGGAATGTGGATTCCGAGCTCACGCACGAGCTCCCAGAGACTTTTAGCGTCAGGTCTTACCAATAATGCTCAGTCTGAAGCCAACCCTGAATCATTCCAGCAGCGGTAAGTGGCTACGCCGATCTCTTAACAGACAAAGGGTGATCTTAAGCCTCACGTGGTAGAGCCTGGCGGTTTGTCGAACTAAGGAGGTGGTATCAGTGTGACAACTTCCACGGGACTAGCAAAAGTTTAGCCCTACTCCATTGGGGATTTTGTCTCAAGGATCTCCCGTAGGACTCATACGGGACCCATATCTTTGTATAACTCTCCTATTTGGGATGGATAAAATAATTATTCATCCAACATTTTTACTCTTTATCAAACATTGACTCGCGAGATTTTAGCTGTCTGCACTGTTTACAGTTCCGTGGGAATTCCTATAATTATCCTATATTATTTTGTCTGGGAACTCGATACTGCTTAGATTAGCTGCCCGTGGTCTTAATAGAGCGTAATCTTATTGTTTTGCGATATAAGATGTAGAATTGACATTTAAGTGGTGGAAATGTCAAGGTAGGGCCCCCGAGGAACGCCAGTAGCGGTGTGGGTGTCAACTGACAATTGTACATATGGCCTTGAGAATGAAGGAATTTAACTAAACAAGTTTAGAATGCATTCTACGCGCTAAAAGAACACTATACAAGAAGGTATCCAGTCTAGATACAGTTAATTGCGATCGGTGATCAATCAATTCTATCACTAGAGAGACTGAACAGAGCTTAAACAAACATCTGTAGGCAAGACAAATGCCGGTACGGACCAATCACATGACCCGGTATATTTTCATCCGAAGATTCCCCACTTGTTATTTAATCAAAACGCTTATCAATTTCCATCTCTTTTACTGTGTTGCACTTATTCCATGACTTTAGTTGGTCTTCTATGAGTGGTAACAATCGTTCACCAGTTCAAACCACCATTAGAACCCGTTTGGGCCGTCATAAAGCTTGGTGTGTAGATTTCGCTCTCAGCTAGTCCACAGCATACGAATTTGAGCGCATGGAACATTGTATTGATACTTCCTCAGTGATCGGTGTCGGACCCGTCACATACGATGTAAGCTACCTTATATAGTAGCTCAAGTCACGAGACGACTAACGCGATAAAGGCAAAGGAGGCTCAGATGGTAATTCTTGCCATGGCTGCCGGCGGGCAAATAAGCCATGCACAAGCCATAAGGATGGCATGTTCCGCTTTGTTGAGTACGCCTCTGTAGAGAACGATTCGGAGGACTATCGACTCCAGCCCAGCCGTCCGGCAAGCACCATAACGTTTGTTAGCGAGAATAATACGGAAATTGACAGCAATGGTCCATCAAACAGCAAGACAGAGGGCCATAATAATCTTCAGCAGTCGTTCCAAAATTCTCCTTCACAGGTGTCCGTTCCTGTACCGACATTATCCCCCCTCGGATCTCAATCTCTCGTCTCGCCGCTGAAGAGCGACTACGAGGCGTCTCTTTTTAAATATTTTATGACGTCCCTCTCGCCTTGGGTAGGTGCTCCCTGGCTTTTACATCGTAAGTTCTGGGGCATGGCTAACCGTACTTTCCTGCAATTCTACTGTAGTTTGACTACTGCGACCCGAGCCGGCATTTTTATACCTACATCGCCAGCTCTGCATCTAGCAATCCTATCCTCATGTATGCTGTTCTGACGGTGGCTGCTAGGCATCAGCGCTCGCATTCAGAACGCGAGCGATTGATTGCAGATGAATACCAGCAATACTGCCTTGAGTCATTGATATCCGCCCTTGATAACTCTGAGAAAACACTAGACGAGTCTCTTTTCGCGTCAGCCGTAATCCTTCGTCTCTCTGAAGAAATGACAGGTGTGTGCGACGTCCTGAAAATCTTGCAATCATAAAATGATATGTACTAAGAGGTTGTGTACAGAGCCTTCTCCTAGAGAAGTTGTAGACTCGCACACCCTGTCTGCCCATATCCTTGTTCGAATTAAAGAAGGAAACATTTGCACATCAAGCTTCACAGATGCCGCCTTGATCGTGGTCTTGCGACAAGAGATCTTCGTCGCGAACCTGACACAACGACCGGTGGGGTCTTTTACAGACCACTGCAATATCGATACATCACTGGGTCCGACTTCTGAAGCAATGTGGACATATCGGATCATCGCTCACACGGCCAAGATAACCGACTTTGCGTATGGCGAAGTCATGTTCAGGACTAAGGATCGCTGGAACGATCTGATGCAATATGTCCAAGACTGGGAAGATAGCAGACCGAGTTCCTTCATGCCGATCTATAGCGAAGCAGAGAATCCACCGTCGAGTTGCTTCCCTAAGATTTGGTATTGTAATGACTGCCACGTCGCGGCCCGTCTGTATCTGGAACTATGTCGCATTCTCCTCTTGGCATCTGATCCGGACGCCTCGACCCTTCGGATTGGGCGATTCCGTCGCATGCAAGACAATGATGACAGAATACGGGAGTGTGTTCGAGTCATATGTGGGGTTGCTCTAACAAATCCTGAGTTCCACACTACCCGATCTACTGCAGGCTTGGCTATTGGGCTATGCGGCGAACTATTCCATGATCCGAGGGAGACAAAGGTTCTCCTGGACCTGTTATCAGCCGCAGAATTCCATCTCGGATGGCCTTGTTTGAAGTTGAAAGAAGATTTACGGAGGTTTTGGAGGCTACCAGTGGTTGAATCCTAATATTGGTGGTGAATAAAAACCAAATCTTTCTATCGGCTAGTTGATATTTCATCTAGTTTGCTCTACCCAACAGTATGACGTTTCTGTCGCTCGGGCTTGTCGCTATAAAGATTATTGAACATATGGCTTTCAATTCATACTAGATAAGAATACTTAGAAGCATTCGGATGTATATTGAAATTCCTATCTCGACTAGAACACATCTTTCCTTACAAACTACTTCCCTACCCAAAGTTTCTGCCCGTTCTTCCAGTCAACTACCACGTAAATGACTCTAACAGCATTCCTGCTAATAATACACCAGTTATCCTTGACGTATTACTCAGGATGTTGCCATTCCTTAACTTGAGGTACTCAACACCACAGTTAACATCGTGCTCGAGGTCTCACCAGTCGTAGTTCCAGAAGCAGTCACTGCTCCATGAAGTAATCCCCGTAAAGCAAGTCACCGTAGAATATACACATAAAGAACACAAAGAATGAACTTCAAAGTGCACTAGAGTGATACATCGATGGATCAATCAATGAATTCTAATATCGTTTCCTTTATACAAAAAATAAGGGAGCCAGTCCCTGTAAGTATGAACCCTCAGACATGAACTCTCCGTCTTCTTTGATTTCCTTGTCTCAAAGCCCTTCCCCGAGTCATTACCAAAAGGCCCCGAGGAGCTGTATATCAAAAGAAACCCTATTCTATCCAACTATGTTGTCTCAGCCATGCTTCACACATTGACGACCAGTTAGAAACAGGGAGATTCTCCGTATCGAAGGCGAAGCCATGAGGCGCATCGGCAAAGACATGAAGCTCAACAGATCCTCCACTTTTGGCAATGCCATCGGCCAGACGATAGGCGTTTACAACAGGGACGACCGGGTCATTATTAGAATAAACAATGAAAGTAGGTGGTGCGGGAGCACTGAGCTGGACATCTGGCTGTAATGAGTCGTATAGAGCTTGCTTCTCCAGAGGCAGAAGGGGTGGCTTATTCGCAACGATAGTACGGCCAGCCGCATTTGTCGAGATTGGTCCATATCCTATAATAGCAAATTGAGCTGGAGGGACATCCGGATCAGGCGATGTCCATGCGCTAGGATATTGGGCCAAAAGCGCAGCTCCGAGATGACCACCGGAAGAGAGGCCGCAGATGCCTTGTCCCTCCGGGATGAGCCCGGATTCCGCCATCAACTTGAACGCGCGTCTGGCATCATTTAAAGGCGCCTCGGCACCAGTTGTTGCGGTTGGAAACCGGTGGACCAGAACGAAGGCATAGAACCCAAGGCTGGTTAGCCATTTCGCAGCTGCGATGCCTTCCCGACCAACCATGAGCTGAACATAGCCACCGCCTCCGAGAATTAGCACTCCCCGTCCATTGGGTTTGGCTGGCCGGTAACCAAAGAGAAAAGGACGCTCGACTTTGGTGACAACTGCTTGGGCTAGATCGTCTTCCTGTGCGTCGAGTTCGAAGGCGCCATCCACCGAGCTCTCCCCCCACAGAGGCCAGCACAGGTCGGCTTCGAGCATTTTGGCGTTATCAAGGAGGAATAGAAATTAATCTTTGCAAGAAGTAGAAGTTGTTGTTCAGCTAAAGTGAATACCTGTGCGGGGATCAAATATACTGAGTGTGGGCCTCGCGATAACATCAACCCGAAATACCGGATAGCTTAACTTTTCTCATATCGGTGGATATTGTCGGCATTCGGGTCATTCTTAGTTGACCCTGATGCGAAGCACCTCGGGATCACCCCAAACGTGCGCCATATCGTTAAAAGAGTTTAAACTCAAGCCTCAGAGTGTGGGGATATATCCTTTCAATTGGGTCGATGCAATTGAAAGTTCTGAGCTAGGCTTATCTATCGTTTTACTCAGTTCATTCGCCATGATGATACCCCAGGCTTTTGTGGTGAATGTTTGAAGATATTCTTGCAGTGTTCTTTATCTGTGGGAGCCGGCAATCTAATTTTCTTTATGCGGCACGTGTGGATTAAAGATCTTGAGTAATATAATTCACGTGATACACACTCGTAGTGAATCAGCAATCATCTCCAAAAGCCGTGGAGATATGGCTCTCTCTGGGGGCCGCAAAGAGGGGTCTTAATCTTATAAGCAGTTCCTTGTTGTGGGAATATTGAGCTCTTTGGTCACACGAGCTTAGAGGATGAATCGGAGAGGAGGGAGAAAGTTTCTGGCAACAAAAACGACAAAGGAATAAGGGGCTATGGGGTACATTAACATGATCTGCTGGGTGAAGAAATGCAGAGCCATTCTAGGGAGAGTAAGATTTCAGTCAAAGATCGCAAGTCTGCCGTATAAATTACCCTTGCTTAAGTTCCTTGACCGCTGACTCGCCTTGTGTCCCCACTCACCCCACAAGGTTTGTAACTGGATGACGCAAAAAATTACCCTCAGGGCTTTTGGTTGCACGTCTCCATCGATTAGATGATTTTGTTAGAAACGTGATTGGGGGATTAAAACACTGGGTAGTACATCGGAGAAACTTTTCATTCAGCCGGCCAGTCTAAAATTATTGGTGGTGGTAAGAAATATGGCAGTAGCATACAGGAATGTAGAGAATATTTAATTTAAGAAGCAGCCAAAGATGGAATAATCGAAAGAGTTTCAATATCTATACCGACCATCAGCTCCGGGTATTGAGTTCGGAACTCATCTGATAGGCCCCAACCCTCGATTCTGGTGAAAGTATCATAGAATTCTTTATGTACTTGCAATGAATTCGCCGTGTCAGGCTCCAAAAAAGACTTCCCCCAAGGCCACCGGATTCTAAGACTGCATGTAAACGCGGCGAATACCATTTTGAGGTCGTATAAGTGGAAAGTCTTGACTAGGTTCGCACGGAGAGCTGGCCACATAACGAAGTCGATGCAACGCGGGTGTGGACTCTGTAGCTGGTCGTTTACCGGTCTTTGAAATTCAAGCAGACGGGCAAAAGACCCTTGGGAAGGCCGTGTTAGCCATTTTACCATGTTGTACGTCAGAAGACCACTTGCTAAGCGTTCAGGATCACAAATGGGCCAAAATCGTATCGCCTTATGTATTCTGTCGGCTAAAAAGTTCTGGCTTGACCCATATAGGATTTCCACCGGCGAAGGTTCGTCGGGCGATGCCTGCACGAGATCTGGTCGGTTAAAGCAAGAGTAGAGACTCTCAGGATTGTACGGCTCCTGAGCTAAATGGAGAGGAAGCCTGCTCCAAAGGGACAAATCTAAATCCCTAGCAACATTCAACCCGGTGAACTTGGCAGGCGAGAGCGATGTCCCATTGGACGACTGAACGATGGTTTCAATAGGGGGTACCGAGTCATTTAGAGGATATCTAAAGAAACCTGACGGATGTCCCGAAACTGTTGGATAATGAGCAGCATGGTGCAAACAGGCGTGTGATATAGCAGGGCAGACCTCCACGGATTTCGGTTCCCGGCCGTCGCGGTTCGCCAGTGTTTCATGGTTGTTTAGCTCAGATGTACATACAATCTCTCGGATACGCTGTTGGGCTGACCGTAGAGCTTCATTTTCGGCCCGGAGCTCCTGTATCTCTTTTTCGTACACTTTACATTGTTGCTCGAGCGAGTGAGTGCGATTTAACCGTTCTGCGCGGAGCTTCTGTTGAGCGCGTCGATCGCGAGCTCGCTTCTTGTCAATGGAGCCGACAGACTTAGGCTTTGAGGCCTGCATGTCTAATACATGATATCATCCGTGTATACGAGGTTATCAACTTATCGCACAGTAGTTGAAGGAGCGGAGAAGGAAATCCCTCGAGCGAGTCAGTGGTGTGGGGCTACTCTCTAGTGGGGGCCCACTCTCACCTATTTATCTCAAAGATGGTGTTTAGCAGCCAGCTAGCCTATAATCACCATCGGGATGATGCACTGGGCCAGGTACTACTCCGATATCATAGTGCGTTGCTGTTGGTAAACTTGGTAATATCTCCAGGTTGTTCGGAAACTCGATTTAGTCGGCCGTAGGCTAATCGGATTCTGCAAGTCGTCTCCTCAGCAATAATACAAAAAATAATAAAAACAATAAAAAAAAAATAAAAAAGACTTTGGGTGGAGAGCCAAGAGCATGATCGTCATTTTCATGACTAGATGTGAATCCTCGGAGAACGGAGTAGGACGTAGCCGTTCATTTTCATTCTATCGGATTAAATTCCATACATAATCCGTCCGGCTATCTTAAACCGAGACTAGCTTTTCAATGCATAGGGACTTTGTATTACCCCATCCTATGCCTCAATTGGCCCGTTTAGGCATGTATATTATGCATGATGACTGAACATTCTCCTATAGCCAACATGTAGACGCGCTTTACCCCCCTTTTTCGATGTGTGCAGCAAAACCCCACATTGGTCTAAAGAACGGCCCCAAGTACCGTTGAAGGGCTATATATATTGAGCCTGCAATCATTACACACCCTTTGCATCCTTGATTGAGCGACCTGGCTGTTTGCCGTCATGGCGTTTAACCTCGTACTGTGGCCTGTGATTGTCTTATTGTTTTATGCCGTGTTAGCTGCCATATGGTACGTCTATCTTCACCCCCTTCGACGAATCCCAGGACCAAAGTCATGGATTATCTTCCCCATTATGCGACATGCTTCCGCTATCCGCGGGAGGTTTGACATCGATATACGTCAGCACCATGCTGTATACGGTCCCGTGGTTAGATTTGGTCGTGATGAAGTGTCCTTCATAACAGCAGAGGCATGGAAAGATATATACGGTCATGGACATCAGCAACTCCCTAAAGTTTTGACGTCAGGTAGCAATACGCTCGACATAATCTCGTCAAACAACACCGACCACAGTCGCTATCGCAAAGCTCTATCTCATGCATTTTCTGCCAAAGGGCTTCAGGCCCAAGAGCCTCTGATGAACAGTTACGTCGACAAACTGATAGAGAGACTTAAAGGGGTTGCCGAGTCGAACCTACCAGCTGACATGGTCAAATGGTATAACCTCACAACATTTGACATTATCGGTGACCTAGCCTTTGGAGAGCCCTTTGGTGGATTAGATAACTCGGAGTATCACCATTGGGTGTCAACCATTTTCCAGTCAATCAAGGCAATTCCCTTTATACGATTGAAAGACGCATATCCCTTGGCATTCAAGACTATTCTCGGCCTTATGCCTGAAGGAATAATGGAGGCACGCAAAAAGCAATTAGAGCACTCAAGAATAACGGTCCAGAAGCGGCTCCAGAATTCCTCTGCTTACGACCGCGGTGACTTTATGGACTCGATGTTGCGTAATCGCGGCGAAAAGGGCAGCTTGAATGACTTGGAGCTCGAGGCCAATTCCAATATCCTTATTATTGCGGGCAGTGAAACTACTGCGACCCTACTATCAGGAGCGACATATTGGATATTACGCAATACTGAAATTTTAGCCAAGTTAACGGACGAAGTGCGCTCTGTGATGAAGAGCGAATCCGAGATAAGCGCTCAAAAAGTCAGTACCGAGCTTCCATACATGCTGGCTTGTTTTGATGAAGCATTCCGATTATACCCACCTGTGCCGACAGGCCTACAGCGGAGGACCTTAGTTCCAACCTGCATTTCCGGATATGATATTCCTGCCGGGGTAAGATCAGGCGAGAAAACTAGAGCGTGACGAACAACAGGGGCTGACTAGATATAGACCAAAGTTTCGGTTCACCAGTCCGCAGCCTACTGGTCATCAACCAATTTTCACGCTCCAGATCGTTTCATCCCCGAGCGGTGGCTACCGGAAGCTAAGAGTGATCCAAGCTCGCCATTCTTCTCGGATAACCGGGGTGTTGTGCAGCCATTTTCTACTGGTCCACGCAATTGCATCGGCAGAAATCTCGCATATGCAGAAATGCGTGTGATACTCGCACGTGTGCTTTGGAACTTTGACTTGGAACTGTGCCAAGAAAGTACACGATGGTCTGACCAGAAGGCGTACACATTGTGGGAGAAGCCTCCATTGATGTGCAAGCTGAGATTGCGAGAGGGCTTTAGGGACTAGGATTGATCGTGGAATCCGAAGAGCCCGTCCCGGCTTGGTCTGAGTGGGTTCTGGGTAGGATACACGGAGTCATTTTTCTGAAACATACAAAAGCTGACTTAAAGATTTGTCTTGTTGGACTAATGATATTTCTCGCAACATGAAATAAAGCGAATTATAAGATATACGTTGGAACAATACAAAATATGAATAGCGAACAAGATGTTACGTTGATTTGTTTTCAAGGGCCACGCGAGACATGTGCTATGGGAAAATGATAAGTTAAAAAGCGAGCCCTATTTAACAAAGATTCAGATATATTGGGTCTCCTAAACTTGTTGATATAATAAAGTCTATAGAGGGGAAGCTAGATGTAGCTCTATATGTGGTCCTGGATACCAGTTTAAGACGACGTCTGTAGACTATATACTGTGCTGCTGCCAATTAGTGGAGAAGACTGTCTACTGTTCAGACTGCAGAAGCAACAGGGTGGTGAAATGACAGAAGCAGCCATCTATTTGGCGGAACGCTTGTCAGAGGCTTTGTTCCATGTCGAACACACCATACTGTGATCGCAGCTACGGTGGGGTAACCTTATACTATAGCACTACCTTAAGGAGCGGCTATCGGCAGCTATACCCCTAGTCACCGCACCACGGGCTTAACCCTATGATGCTCAGTTACCTTGTGTATATAAAGGACGTAGCGACCCCCTACCCTTGGTAGGAGGTCGGCAATTCTCTACCTCTCATAGCATACCGTTACTTGCAATCACAATACCATAGTCAGTTTCATGTGTCCCTATCAGCTCGTTAAAGACTGCTTACTGTGTCTAAGATTTCCTTGAAGCACTAGCCTGACTGGCTTTTACGTACCACGGGATGGTCTATCATGTCATGGTTCAAGCCAGCGTTGCTGTATAGCTCTAAGAATATGTGCACTTCGCTATTAGCTAAGGGGTTTGGGACTGAATGCCTGAGCCCGGGCGATTGTTTGTCTGAAGCTGACGCATTGGCGATCGCAATCGGCGCCAATAACTCTGAAGAAGTAGGCTCGTTCCTTACAAATCGGCTATTCCGGAATACCTATAGCATGGTCCGTTGCTCGTTCTACTCGCACTATAGATATCGACAAATGCTGGGCCTGTTCAAGTGCTTGAATCCTAGGTCTGTTAGTGTAAATAACAAGATGATTAATGTTTCCTTATGATTCTGAGCAGATGGTAAGACTGATCTTGTCGTTCTACCAAACCCAAACCTTTATATTGTACTTACTAGCACTATTCTTCGTGCAATTGTCCTGAGTAGTTGTTAAACCACCATTTGGGCCGTCCGGTTGAGCTTCTACTACGAAGTTCAATGGTGAGTGCTGAGCTTCAAACGTATCCTTTGATTCCTTGATCGTAGTCTTCCATGTGTTCGCTGCTGCTTTTATTGTATTTGTTGCTTGTATTGATTCTCCACTAGAGATAGAGTTGAAAGCTTGACCGGCAAAAAGATCCAGGCATCATTGGATTTCATTATGATAGTCATTCGATGTCGTTCTGGATTGGATCCTGCTCCGTATTGTCCACAGACTGTAAACCGGCGTGATTTGCATTGTACCTGTAGTCTCACACCCGGACAGGCCAGATTCGTATCTTTGTCCTTCCCTCGAAGAATTGGTCTCCACCTTGCGTGTAGTGCTGATCAACAGCGCCCCTGGGATCGAAAAGGTCTCCTTGATACGCCTCGTCGCCTTCGTTATCATATTGTTACACAGGCGCAGTGCACATACCATGGCCCTCGTTAGCAGCTTGTTCTGGATACACCAGCAAGGCAAGATCTGCTAAGAAAATCGCAGAGAAGTTTCTACGAAACCCTCTAGACGCAAATATCCTTCATGAAGCAGGCTTAAGTCTAGGCTGATTCATGTGCACGTGCAGCCGTATGCTCCTGCTCATGGTCTTCACTCTCAGTCTCATCCGCATCCTCCCACCCCTCATCGTCATCCCCGGTTTCCAGTACCTCCAGCTCATCATCAAACTCATCAAGCTCGTCACCAAGCATACTAATTAACTGCAACAGCCCAGTTTGTGTTGGCGAGCGCCAAGCCTCTGGTGCCGAAGACCGTATCGCTGTTGTATCTTGGGCTGAATCGGCCGAGGAAGACCCGTCGTTAGAAAGGTCCGGGGCTAAGCTGACAACGCGGATGGCTTTAGTTGGGAAGAGACGGGTGTGAGCTTCATGTTCCTGTGGAGCCGCATCGCCTGGAAGGGGATGGCGCCAACCGAGTGTCTGCAGGTTTTGATGTTAGCTTTCTTGCTTCTATTTCCATATTGGCCACTGTGGTGGAACATACTGTGAAAGTGGTCATTATCGCGTCATCATACAACGCCATGAAACTAACCGGCACCGCAAGCTGGGGCGCGGAGCTAGTGAGCAGCGAATATGATGCGCGAGCGGGACAATCGATGTCTTGAATTCTATTATCGTCGTCAAGCGCCACTACATAGATCCGGTCTTCGATCTCGAACATCAGGCGGTGGTTGCGCACAGATAACCAGCCACCCAAGTCAAAACCCGATCCATCCGACTCACATTCAATTAGGGAACTGTGCGTCGCGAGACTACCTGGGCCGTGCAGAGCTTTGCGCCAGTCGGAGCAAACGAAGACACGCCCAGCGCGTGAGAAGCCGACAAAAACGTTGCCGTGCAACATGCCAGCTCCCCAGTCGTCCTCGCCATGCCTAACATGCCCAGGGTCACTGGGCGGTGGGAGGGGGCCTTTGGCAATCTTGAGGGGCGTTAGGCTATCTTTGCGAGGTACCCCAAGAGGAAATGTTCGATTTGGCGGAAAGTGTCGCATGGCTCCCGCCAGGGCCGCGCTCTCCGAGATAGAAGGAACGGCCGGTGGACTAATATGGTACTTGTCCGTACAATGCGACGGCTGCAATGCACCCAAAAACGCGCCAGACGTTTTATCATAGGCGTAATAGCCTCCCTTCCCCATGGAGTAAATCACAGCATCTTTGCTTTGGTCTAAATGGCCGATGGCGCCATGCTCGATATCAACACGCGTGGTCAACTTGGGGGGTCGTTGCGTCATGTCATACACAAAACCCCGTCCCTGGCTAGACACTACACAGAGTGTCCAGTAAGACAACTGAAAGCCTCTTGTCTGACAATCGTGGTTCAAAACCGCGATACGCCGGAACTCTCCACGTGCTGCGCCTTCCAGACCCGCCTGCCAGACCTCGACCGCATCCCCTTCGCGATCAAAGACAGCCATCCCGTCTTGATACTCCAGATGTGCGTATGGACGAACCGCATCCTCGTCACTATCTAACGTGGAAGGAAGACGCCACAGACTGTGGCCCGTGTCCATATCAGTGACATTTAGCCCACCTGCATGGGATGTGGAAACGAAGAACCGACGCTTGAAGTCCGGGCGAAATCGCCAGACAGGATCGTTGCCGATCTGCACTACAGACTCCCGGCAAACTGGTTGGGACTCGGCCCAGTTACGGGCGAGCAGCGTCTGGCGCTTACAAAGGTCCTTCCATGACGCTGTGCCTTCGAACAGCTTAGTGAAGCTAGTATTGTCGGAAAGAAATGAGAAATCACGGGCCCCTCCAGGCGGTTGGGCGGTTTTTGATTCGGAGGTGTAGATGGCTTCCTGATGTGTGACGTCGATAAATTGGTGCCAGGCCTTGGAGACTGCGGTGAGGGATGCGAGAGCAGAGATTGGGGTGAACTCCAAAATTCGCAGAACAATCTCAGGAGGCAGGACGGCGAGAGGGTCCGCTACGGGTTGAATGGCGGTCATGCTTGAAACAGCAACAGTTTTTTTTTTCCTTTTGTCGAAGTATGAAGTTGCAAGGGTGGAGGGAGGGTGGTACGCTACGGGAATACTGCCACACTTTTCACCGCCTTTCTACCAACGTAACTGCTCACTAATTTCCAGGGCAGGTTACAGTCAGAGACATCCTCCCTTATATTGACCTCATTCATTAGAGAACTTTCACACTTTACCGATTGAGGCCAAAATCATGTCCAATCCAAGACCAATCTCATTGCAACTCCGTGAATATCCGCAGAATGAGAGAAGTAAGCAGAAGGAAAGCTCTAGGAGTAGGTATAGACAGAATACCCTTTAACTTAGTACCCATTCGCTGGACTTCGTTTGAAGGAATCATTTAGCTAAGGAACGTTATATGTATATATATATCATTGTTTCTTTTTTCTTTCCCTCTTTGCTGGTATGCGACTGGCTGGTTGCGTTTCTTCGAACCTTCTTAATTCTCAGCCAGCTGCTTGGCTTCTCGGATCTCCCGGTGACAGTGACCGGATGTATAGGCTCCACTTATGTTATCTTTGGCCATTAAATCTTCCTGGGCAAATCAGGCAAGGTACATCTTACTCTATACTCTCATTTCCATATTCCTTCTTAATTTACATGAGGAATGGACTGACCAATTGTCACACTGAGTAAATGTGGTTGCCCTCCAGTGTCAGGGCAAGTGTTTTAATGTTTTCGGATATCAACTATATGTACATTGCCTTCAGGACATAGTCCTCTATGTTTGGAACCAGAGATTCTCAGGAAAATCTATCCGTCGCTTCCTACAATACATGTAATTGGTGTGTTATTGCAGGTCATATATAGCTATGTAGGATCCATACTTGAATATCAAGGACCCAGATTCAACGGATATGAGTATATCTTCTTATTTTCCCATACTACATTTCTATAGCTTTACGCAATGTATCCACAAGTTCCGCCAAGCCAACATATTGGTATTCTCAACAAATCGCCCTATACATCCGGTGTCTAATTTTCTGGAAACAACAAAACCAGGATTATACACAGCCTTGGCGTACTGGTCTGATCCCTGAATCATTCCCAAGGTTGGGCGTCTTCAATGGGTACACCGTTGTAATTGAAGCAACCCAAAATACCATCTTTGTTGAACACGACATTATCTGGAAGTTCGAATCAGATATGGCTACTATTTGATGGTAATAGAGCACTTACTTAGATCGAAAAGACAATCCTTCTGAGTTTCCCCACCAAAGTATACACAGGTCAGTGTTGCAAGTTTGCCAAGGTGACATTCCCTCACCCTGGAAAAGAACTTGCCACTGCTTCCAGTCAGTTCGAATCACCATCATCCCATGGTAATATACATACTCAGCTTCAGCTGTTATATTCCCCCAGTCGTTGAGCTTAAGGCAGCGGTTCAAATCTAATGCTGACTTATACGCCTTTTCATATTCTTTTCTGGTCCTTATATTTGCAATCTGCAACTAAAGTGCGGCCACTGACAGTTAATCCAACCTTCCTATAGGTGTCGAGGAAGTGATTGGCAGGCACTAAAGCTGCTAGGGCAAGGCAGAAAATTAACAATCGCTGATACATATTGTCTTCGTGGAAAACTTGATATAATTATGAAGAACTAATATTTAAACTTGCAGGGCTCTCTGCAGGGCCCTCTACTGGACTACTTATATCTCTCAAGGGCATAAGCACATGGTGGGTCGTTGTTTGGATCTACAACGTTGATTAGGTACATTTGCTTTCCAAGGAGGTCTGTTCTTTCATGATCCTTTGAATTGATTTCAAAACTGATACATCTTGTGCTTCCTTTGATCCTGAAGCGCTCATCATCATAAACTGCAAGACAGGTATCATATCGGTTTTAGTCATTCCTGCATAACCATTACTCCTTTCCAGCGCGTCATTATAACTCCAGACATACTTTCTTTTGTTTCCTCATACAGGAGACGTATGTGGTTACAGTGGCCTTTATTTCCATTTATTTGATAAAAGGGTATGAAACCAGCTGTTCCTCCTTTACAAAGACATGAATAGTGGATGTTATACTCATTCATCGACACTTGTTTGTGATCAGTCCTTCATTAACTGGCTGTGCTGGTAGTACAACGGTGGATTTGTAAGGTTTGTATATCACGACTGCGATGCTTAGCCGGTAAGGGGTATCTATTTAACGGATATTGAAAATAAAGAATTGCTAGAAAAGAAATCAAACATAAACTAATTTGTACTTAAAAGTCCTCAATAAAGTGAAATCTGCCCAAGTACAGAATGGCTTGGGAAACCCAGATAGAAAATCGGCAGTACTTATGGATGTATATATCATACTTTTTCCATGTTTTGACTTTAACTGCATTAAAAAGTAGAGCACAATTAGGGAAAGCGTGGAACTGTGGCTCAGGCCCTATATCCACGAAACCAACAAGTATGAGCTAGCGCCAAGAGTACACAACCAAACAAATATGTAGGGGGTCTCTCCATATCCCTTTGTATGCTGTAGGAGCTCAACAACAGCTGTACAATTATTTCGCTCAGCCCATTCTATAGACTTCCGAGGGATGGGTTGTTTATATAACCGTCCATGATTCATCAAGAAGAGAGGCACTAGGTAAAGCCCTTCTTGTCTTGCCCTAGCTTCAACAATGTAATAATCATCATCCTGACACTCAGGATCTGCACCGTAATCCAACAATATCTTCACAGCATCTATATGACAATACTCAAAGGAGTTCGGCCATACATGTCTTTTCGATCCGGGTCAATGCTGGTCTTCAGCAAGATTGCAATAATATCAGTATGGCCATACAATGCCGCCCAGGAGAGAGGTGTATAGCCATTCCTGTCTTTATCACTCGAATTAAAACCGCTGTCTATGAGGGTCTGGACTACTTCTGCGCTTCCACTGTATACCGCTGCTGACATAGGTGTGTGACCAAGGGGGCTCCATATGGTATATTGCAGATCAGGCTCTTTGGTCCGCGGACAATATCCTAGCAGCTTGCGCAGAGTATCGGCGTTCCCTGTTTCTTTTGCCTGCCATAATGCCCCGGCTGTGTTCTTATTGTAAAGAGTATAGTTGAAAATAAAGTAGAAGTGCCGGCATACTTGGCTGAAATAATTAAGTGTTGATTTGGTGAAGTGTTTCTGAATACGCAGAAGGATCTCGACGGGGAGATGGACCAGGTTTGCCATAAACAATATTGGAGATTTACTTTATTGAGCAGGATATAGCGAAACTTCAACTGGTTAGATAGTTCAACGCTTGACGAATAGTATCCAGATCAGGATAACATTTTGCAGCCTTTCATAAGACGTGAGGTTGGTCTCTCTCAATAAATATCATAGTCTAAATAGAAGCCAAATTCGATTGTCAAGAATCAATTTTGGCCGCTGTGCTTGGATGTTTGGTCATCCCTTTGTCGACTGTAGCGCATTGGGGGCCCATAATATGTGAGATATAATGAAAAATGTGATGCGCGATTACGCCTGTTTCATGGTAACGAAAGGAAGAGGTTAGAACATCTTAAATGGGGGCAGAAAGCGTGTGAATTATAGATTTAATATACGTTCACTCCAAGCTAGATATATTGGGCATGTATAGTCCGCTTTTTCAATAGAAGTTTTAATCTGCCAAGAGCCGTTCCCAGTTACCTTGGCTTGATCTCATGTTCCAGTATCAGCCTCCACGTCCAATTATTACCAAATGCTGCGTTTAGGGCGTAATGCTTGGATTGATTGGTTAATTCCTTCTGCTCTTTCTGGTGCTACAACATTTCCAGTAACTCGAGCTTCATCGAAGTCCTTGGATCATATTTTATTCCACATGTTCATTATTAACATCTACCAAATAACTACTGATTACCGGCTGTGAAACCGCACTTCCTTTGTTAAGAGTTACGTCCCTTTGTCAAGTTACCAAAGCCGAAATGAAACACCCATCCTTTATATGGTGTTTCATCTATGTTATCTCATTCTAACAAGAGGAATGGTATAACCTGTCAAACAGAAATAGCACTATAAAGTACCTATAAAGACACCTTAAGTGTGCGGACATCGTTTAGGTAGATAAATTTCGTGGTTCTTCAGTCAGCAGTTATAATATTAAGCCCGGAATGTGGATTACACCTTTTACTAAGAATCGAAACTATGATACTAAGAAATTTCACCGAGACCCTAAATTCATAATATTACCAAACCATATAAAAACAGGAATAGAGGATCTAGTATGAACAAAATTAAAAAATGTCACTACGTTAACATTTAAGAAACAATTGATCTATATAAAGTAGTTAACCGACCTATAAATTATATCAGACTATAAAGTCTAGAAATACCGCTCAGGACTAATTCAGCTTTACTTTATAGCCTTCCCAGAGCTAGGTAACTATGTCAACTAGAAATAACACAAGTGTCCGGGCATGTTTAGGAAGTCGAATGGGTTGATTCTCGGTCATAAAATCTCAATAAGGCTCAGGTGCCTTCATCAATGAAAGATTGGATGTATAAGATTGAATTCTATCAAGTTATAAAGTTTGTCCCGTCCGGGTTTGAAACACAAGAGAAGATGCTCAAAGAAAGTTAAATGATCTTGAACCGACCGCAATACCTACGTCTATAGTCCGAGGGAGCATAAATAGCTTGACTATAACCAGTTTACGAATTCTGAGGTATTCACGAAATCTACCCCGTACAGAAGTGTTCGTACTTGATGATTACGCATTGGATCACAGTGGCTACTTTATCTATCTTGTCAGCTTTGGCTGCCGCCGAACCTGACGTCAAGATGGCCAACTTTACTGTAAACTGCAAATCATGGCATTTGGACAATTCTATGTCCCATGCAATCTCGGCAGCGTGTCCAGACCGGGACGGGAATTATCAAGACAGTTCTTTGGACTTGAATCAATGTTACACGTACAATCAAGATCATCGGCTCGAGGTCAAGGTCGAGTATGTACGCCGTTTTTGTTGGGGATTGATTGCAAAAAAGGAGAGAAGAAACTCTCACTAACATACTTGCGATAGTGGAGCTGCATTCGACACATGTGTCTCGTGTCAATTGGAGGCGGACCCAAAGAAACCCCCACTTCTGACTTGCGACTGCAAGATAGGCGGGGATAAAATGGCCGTATGGGGTCATACTCTCACAGCGAACACAACCTTGGGTATGTGACCTCTTCATCTTCATCTCTGACTTTTTCGAAGTCAAGTGCTTACTTAAGACGTACAGACTCCAATATCTTCAATAGGAATGGTCAATTGGTCTGCAGATCTTCCGTGCATGACGATCAGGATTGATTTGCTGCGGGAAGTTTGTCTCTCCTGTCGTCACCCAGCAAGTCTTTGTCTTTTTTCCGTCCGGTATATGTTTACGTGTCTGATTTTTTTCATTCTCTTTGTTATATAGGACCAAAGGGGAGAATATGATTGGGCACAGTATCTGCCATTTTATAAGATACTTCCAAGATGAATAGTTATTTGGATCTTAGCCCGCCAGAAGATATGCCGAGTTGAAATCTAGAATTCTCTAAGTATATAAACTGAGGGTCCACTTACTATCTTCAACCTACAGAGTGAGGAAGTGAATATACTCATATTTAGTCTATTAAAACCCGCATACTTCATTTGGACATGTTATGAGCATGAGATCTCTGCGCAACAGTGGGAAGCTATGGTGAACCTCCAATAGCTCGGGTTATGCATCCACCCGACAACTTGCTTGAGCTTCACAAGGAGCTATCATAGAAAGCCCTCTCCTTACATGCGCGTGGACATGATAGGCGCGTATGCATGGATGTTCCAAGATCAAAATGTCTCTGGTTCAAATTTGGTAGTTATTCAAGTGGGAACTGTAACTACCCATGAGTTTGGGGGGGAAATAAAGATCGGGAATAGGAAGGTTCTCCATCGTTGTCAGACTGAGCTATATTTGGTCCCTGGAAGATTGATAGGCTGTAACAACTACCGAATTTGTCAAGATGGCCAAGACACCGGTTTGGATGACTATATGGTCATCTAGATTGGGCTGGTTTTAATGGCTACCTACGGCCAGGTCTCAGTCCAAAACGACAGGGCTGTCAGATTAAATTAAAGACTCAGCCACTAGAGTTGACACTGATGATACGAAAACGAATTACCTAGAATTCACTAGCTGTTCTATTTTTGCTCTGGAGAAGAGCCCTTCCATAGGTCTTGTCAATAATAGTGCATTTCCTGAATGCGTATTTTTATTGCCCAATTGGCTTTGATATTGTTGAGGTTTGTGGGGAAAGGAAGGAGGATAAAGAGGGAGCAAAAAAAAAAAGGAAGCCTGGTAAAATACTTACTGCGTGGGACAAGGCTGAAAAAAACTGTGGCTGTTGCCTGCAGGAGGTTCCTTTTTCCCACATGCAAAATTAATGGGCAACGGAGGTGGGCCAATCCGCTGTCCCGAATTCGTTCCGAGCACAGCCACGGGGTTCAACTAAACTCTATCGGAGGGGCCAGACTGTGAACTTACGTTACCCAATGCCCACCTTCACTTTCCCTCCTCTGGTTTGCTCTTGGGCTGGTGTTTCATAACCTTTATCTTTTATATTTGTCCACGCCTGAGGCTGACTCCAGTCTTTTGTTTAATTGATTTTTTTTTCCTTTCCTTTCTTTCGAACTTCCTTACGGTGGAAGTCAACTTCCTCCATATACTTACAGCAACCGTTCAAGTAGGTACAGTACCGTTTGTTTACTCCAGTCTCACCCCGCCCCCTAATCAAGTATGGAGACGGCCTTTTCAGGTCAACGGCTCATCTAAGGATCTGCGTCGCTGGCACCATCTCATCAACTTTCCGCTGTAGCAGCATTTTCCCCCTCACTGACCGTGATATCTTTCTTCAGCCCTATACCTGAACGATAATCATAATAACCTGCCTCTCTCGACTCTCTGAACTACGATTTCCTCTCCGCCCCGCCAATCCCTTCTCGCGTGCGGGGTCTCATCGGCGTCTGGCCTACTGCGTTAGCTCGCCGCACATTTAATTTTTCGTGACTTAAAGCGGTCATTCCATTCAGGCACAATGAGTTGTGAGTCTCTTCGTTTTCTCATCGCGCTTTCATATCTTGTTTTGCCAACTGGGGGGAGTCGAAATGTTACTCTTTCTTCTTGATTACCCCGCCCATTGTTGAAGCCTGTTTCTTCTTCTATATCAACCGGTGGCGTGTTCCATGCCTTCCCAAGTCTTTGAAATGCTCTCGTCAACCGTTGTGGTAGCTCTGTGGAGCAATGGCGCAAGCCTTTGGCTATTGTTTATCTCCTCGTGGTTACATGGTCTGAACTTACTACATCGCCCGATTTTTGGCTCGCCCCCTGGACTACCGACCTTGGTGATTTGACGTTTGGAGGTTATTGTGACAAATGCGCTGACTATGGTTTTGCTTTACAGTCACTAATATGCTCAACAAGCTGTCGGGACAGCCCGAGAGTTATGAGAAAAAGTACGGCCTTTCCCTTGCGGTTTATGATTCCTTGACATACCATTGGACAGTTAGTAACCAGCGAGGGCTTGCTTTAGACAACTGTATAAATTTGGGAGAACACTTGGTGCTGGAACGTACGGTATTGTCCGTGAGGCAGATTGCAGCCGTGGGAAAGTCGCCGTTAAAATCATCCTGAAAAAAAATGTCCGGGGCAACGAGCAGATGGTTTACGATGAGTTGGAGATGTTGCAAGCCCTCGATCACCCAAATATTGTCCATTTTGTCGACTGGTTCGAATCTAAGGTGGGTTCCTTTTACCGCGCTGCACCAGTGTCAATAGTCTAACGGTGCCAAAGGACAAATTCTACATTGTCACTCAACTAGCCACCGGCGGTGAACTGTTTGATAGAATTTGCGACTACGGAAAGTTTACAGAGAAGGATGCCTCTCAAACTATTCGGCAAGTGCTGGACGCAGTCAATTATCTGCATGAACGGAATATTGTCCACCGAGGTTCGTTTTACTCCTTCAACCCTCTCCCATGGTATAATACTGTGTCATGCGCTAACGCTGAGTCTGAATTACTTAGACTTGAAACCGGAAAACTTGCTTTACCTAACCCGTGACCCATCCTCGCCTTTGGTTTTAGCCGATTTTGGCATTGCCAAGATGTTGGACAGTCCTAGTGAAGTATTGACTAGCATGGCTGGATCTTTCGGTTATGCCGCACCCGAAGTTATGCTCAAACAAGGCCACGGTAAGGCCGTCGATATGTGGTCTCTGGGTGTCATCACATACACCCTGCTGTGTGGCTATTCGCCCTTCCGGTCCGAGAGCCTGTCCGATCTGATCGAAGAATGCCGTAGTGGCCGCATTATCTTCCATGAACGCTACTGGCGTGACGTCTCACAGGATGCCAAGGATTTCATCCTTACGATGCTCCAGCCGGATCCATCAAAGCGTGTCACATCCGAGGAAGCCCTCAAACATTCCTGGTTGAAGGGCGAATCTGCTAGCGACCGTGACTTGCTGCCTGAAATCCGCGCCTATATCGCCAAGTCTCGCCTCAGGAGAGGTATTGAGATCATCAAACTGGCCAACCGCATCGAGGCACTTAAGATGCAGGAGGAGGATGAGGATGACATCCCTAGTCCTGCTGACATGGCAGCTTCTGCTGAGGAGTCTGGCAAATCTGGATCTGCCCCAGCCGAGTCGTCAGCTAATGGTGAGGGTGAGGCTGGTACAACAAAGAAGCGGAGTTTGAGCAAGGTCGCACGCGGAGCTATCTTCCGCGAAGTTGTTCTTGCCAAGGTTCGTGAGCAGAAGGACACCGAAGAACGCGAGAGGCTCGAACGTGAGGCCCGAGAGAAAAATGCCCATGCTTGATTTCTGTTATGCTATGGCGTTCAAAGTGAGAGCTCGTTCATCCTTTCTTGACCAGTTTCGAGGTCCAGACGCATCATCTGAGTTGCTTTGTGAATATTAACCTCATGATTCCCCATCCATAATTCGAATGGTGTATACAGTAACTATTGTTATTCTTGAGAACTTTCGGTACTTGTTCTTCCAACCCTTTTTGTCTTTCGGCTTGACTGTCTCTCTCTACCTTCGTGTCCATACCATCAACAGTTTTCATTCTTCTTCCAGTATTCAATATTAGATATACTAGCACTTGTCCTCGTAGTCATTTTGGGGATGACCTTATCAGCTGGATAGGCATCACGTGCCAGGCCACCATTAGACCATTCGGTGCGTGGGCCAATCAGATGACGGGTGTCGGGGAAGTGAGCCCCAGGCAGGTGATCGACTGGGGGGTGTATAAAGGTACGCCCCGTAGGCGGTCGTTGAATCACTTATATGATCTCGGCCGGTTCATTCTTCTTCTTCACGCTCTCTGGGAAATATCTATTGCGCCTCGACGACTTTTGATCCTCTCCTGTGTTTGCTCACCTCTTCTTTCCCCTCCCTCAACCTTCCTCGCGTCGTTGCAACATTTCCGCGGCGGTAGATCGCCCCACGTTAGGAGTCAGACGTCATACACCTTTGCGGCTCAAACATTCTGCTACCTATGGGAGTAATCAGCGTGCAAAGAAAAAAGTTCACGACAATCACCTATTCCGCAGTACTGGAAGCAATATATCAGTCCTTTGAAAAACATATCTCTCACCATGTTTGCGGGTAAACGCTTGAGTAAGGTAATTTACCCCTCGTTGAATCAGCATTTCGCAGACTAACTTGGCGCAATAACAGGAGCTCCTCAAGGTACCTACGTCCCTTTCTATCCCTCATACCCTAATTTTGTCTACCGTTTTGCGAGACGGGTTACGGCTTAGTCAAATCAGCGTCACGTCTTTGCTATATACTATCATGCCGAGTGTCCATTATCTGCACAGGGGAATTAACTGTGGGATTACTTTAGATGAAGGAGCATCTGCCACCTGGTATATCAATAGCCAAATCGGAGAATCTTGAAGAGTGGCAGATGGATATCCGAGTCCTGGACGAGAATCCGCTCTATCAGAATCAGGTCTATCGACTCAAATTCACGTTCTCGTCGAAGTATCCAATAGGTATGTTTGAATTCACGCCTTGGTGTTACATTCCATATCTTGTGTTACACTTTTTTTTTTTTTTTTT